GAGCCTGATATTATTAGAAATGTGTCTTTTACTCATAAAACCGGATTGAACCTCATCAATAATTGGGTCGAGTACACCTTTGATTCTCCTAGCTATAATGGAAGCAAACACTTTATAGTCGTTATTTAATAGAGAAATGGGTCTCCAGTTTTCAATGAAGGTATGATCTCGTTTTGGTTTTGGTATCAAAGTAATCAATCCCTGTGTTAAAGAAGGGGGAAGACTACCTTTCTTGATGCTTTCTAAAAAAAACTTCAAGGAGAAAGGGAGCTAAGTCTTTTACGGGGGTTTTATAAAACTCTGCTGTGAGGCCATCAACTCCAGGGGATTTGTTCGCTTTGAGGCGTTCAATAGCAAAAATTACTTCTTCTAAATTAATATTCCTATCACAGAAGTCTTTGTCGTTTTGAGTTATCTGTGTGACATTGCTAATAGAATTTAGAAAAGAGGTTGCAGAGTGTTCACAGTATTTGGACCGATAAAGGTTCCTATAAAATTTAAAACAGAAATTGGCTATGATTTTTGGGTCGTCAGTTATGAAGCCATGAACATTAAGTTGCTGTATCACGTTGATTTTTCGATGGTGTTTTTCCAGATTAAAAAAATACGATGAATTTTGTTCGCCTTCCTCAATCCATCTTTTCCTTGATCTTACAAACGCTCCCTTAGCTTTGTTTAGAAATACTTCATTTAGTTTAGCCTGTTCTGAGGTTAGTAGTAGTCTGTCTTCATCTGACATGTTATCAGGGTTTTTTAGGGATAAGTCGATTATTTTAGAGACTATCGTGTCTTCTTCTGATCGACGCGCTTTAGCTAAATTACTGCCATATTTCCTAAGGTATTGACAAGTCTCAAATTTAAATAGTTCCCAGTTGCTACGAAAAGAACTGTCATCTTTTGCTTTGTTCCAAAACTTTTTAAGAAGGCATTCAATGTCAGATTGAACCTTTTTATGATGTAATAGACAGTTGTTAAGCTTCCAGTAGACACTTTTACATTTTTTAGGGGAGTTTGAGTGTAAAGGGATGGAGATGAGGACCGCATTATGGTCAGTTAAAGGTGTTGTAATGATCTCAACCGAAACTGGATTGATGTTAAGATTTTGAGATATGAGCCAGAAGTCGATACGTGACCGCCTGGTGACATCTCTATTACTCCAGGTGAACTCTTTTTTTGTTTGGATTATTACTCCTCCATATATCAATCAAATTAAATGTCTGCATAAATACCTTCAGGGTCTTATTTAGAGAAGATTGATTACGAGGAGGTCAACAGTCCATGTTATGGTGCAACATCGTATTGAAGTCACCGCCTATAACTAGACCGGAATTTGGGAATTTAGCAAGTGAATGTTGAATATGTTTTTCTAATTCTTCAAAAAGGTTATTATTTTCGTAATTTGAGTTGTACCCATATATGTTAACCATTATTATATTGATGTTTCCCGTGTTGATTACTTGTAAAAGGAAATGACCTGCTTTATCGCATACAGAATGTAAAATACTCCCAGAAAACTGGTGTTTCAGCGTAGCGACCCCTGCTGAGTGTTCAGATCCATGTGCCAACCATAAATCGTTACCCCATTGAGCTTTCCATAACCGCAAATCGTTAGAGATCGAGTGGGATTCCTGAAGAAAACAAAAATCATTTCTGTGCTGCTTACCAAACAAAAAAATTGCTTTACGCTTCACAATGTTACTTAACCCCCTGGCATTGAGAGTAATAATGGATAAAGACGTATTAATAACGACAAACACACACTTAGAACTATACCTGGGTGATCGTGTGCTAAAACACTAACCCTACTATTTGGGGCTGTACCGTTTGAACATCTATTTTAAACAAATTAGTGGAACACAACATTAAGAGGGAACAAAAGGTATACTAACCAGCGGAAATATATATGAGCATGATTGCGCGGGTCCGCGTCAAGTCTGAGCTATCTTGGGCTCTACTTGGCGGTGCGCGACGGGAAAACGAAAAATATGTGTAACGCGTCCCAAGATACTCAACCACTGTTTTATTAGATCTAAAATTTGTTACGTATTAGATTACTGTAGTTGGTTCGTATATAAATGACATCCAAAACGGAACTGACCACTTTAGTTAAACGGGCGGTTGGGTGGTTGTGGTGCGATTTTCCGACCCGGAAGTCATTTACCAAGGGTTATTTCAATCTGACACAAAAGTTATTTGGGTTTTAAGCGTGACACTCGCAAAATACGACGAACGGTTTCACATATTTGTGCTGAAACACTGCGAAATACTTTGGGACGCACGAAAGTCATAACCACGGATTGTTAATCGATTATGAAGACAAACGTGAGCGTGTTTAAGGTACTCACCCCACCGTATCCTGGGTAAGCCATTTACGGTGATTTAAACGAGAATGTTGGTACAAATTGTAAAGTTTTGTGAATGCCACTAGCGACACCCTTTCTACTTCCGCTAAATACAGCCAAACGCTCTCGGAAGTTCAGAACGAGAAGTTACGCAATTAGACCCGCCCCATGCCATGGGTACATTTATGTTCGACTTGCAAACTCAGTTAAATACCAAGTAACTGACATGGTCGTCGACGAGCAAAGAGGGTTAGATTTGCAAATTAGATGTACCCGCAGTCCCGGATACGTTTTGTGTCACTACAGTGAGAGAGAGTTCAGAAAATGTAATCTGGATCAAAATGATCCGGATTTGGAAATTCCTTTATTTTATTTTTTTGCTATCCAAGATCAGGTAATCCGATTTTTCGAAGCAACATTGCCTTGGATGACCCTGATACTGATTGACACCGTTTTCAAATTTTCAATTTTACCAAATCCGGATTACCAGTGCTTTAATGGGACAATATATCACAATGTGGGCTACTATCAAATCTGGTGTTAAACAGCGTTGATAATTGTTGCAATATGGTCGCGCTCTCTCCTTCGGTCGTGCGAGATTGCTTACTTTTCTTCGACGCCGGTGGCTTGGACGGCGAGACGGGCAATGCGGGAAAGTCAGTTTCCACAACCGCGAGGACAGGTTGGTTTTGCAGGCAGTAGGCGTGCGCGCCATCCACGAGCACATTCTCAGGTGCGGACTTCAGCTCCATTTTGTCAATGCTGCCGATAATGCTGCTAGCTTAGCACGAGTCGAGGCAACATTTAAGAAAGAGAACTAGGACTGCGCTAAGGACAGGTTACCGTGAGTGCAGCAAAGTCAAGAGGGAAAAAAATATATATACATTTTCTGACATGAAAAAATAGAAGAGTTACCTGTGTTCCACTAACTTTATATCGAGTCAGGTAAGCAGCTCCCAAAAGCACAACCGCTCAAGTCGCCATCTTGGCTCCACCTCGCAGCTATGCTCAAGTAGTGACTCGCGCACGCTGCCAGAGAGAAGGACGTCACGGCCGCAGTCAAAGACCTGAAGCGGTTGTTTAACGTGATACTGCCAACTGTGAATTTTTTTAGGCAGAAATGGAGCGATTACAATAACATTAAGAGTTAGCTCCAGCAACGGGTGGATTTTCTTCCCCTGAAACGTCATAGCTATACAAATTACAACCGAGGGTAAAACCGTATTCCGCAAGCTGTTACAAGTCAAACTTCAAAAACACACACGCACAAGCAAACAAAAAAAGGAAATATCTCAAAAACCTTATGTGCCACAAAAAACGTAAAACACTTTTTGAAATCAGCATCAAAAATTATTTTGCGACACATAAGGCTAATCTATAATTATTTATCATCAGGTCCCTCAATGGACCAGTAGGTTTGGCTGCAAAAGCTTAGTGGAGTGTTCGAATGAGAAACAAAAACAAATTGAATTATATTGCAACTTAAGTGAACAATTTTAGAAAAAATAGTAAACAGCATTACACACACACACACACACACACACACACACACACACACACACACACACACACACACACACACACACGCACACACACACACAAAGTGGACTCCTCAACAAGGAGACAAATAAAAGTAAAATACTTTCCACTCTCAAAATCAACGATTGGCCAAGGGTAAATTCATTGAAATTCTTTAGAGATTTAGGGCGCACCCAGTACAATTAGAACTTTGGCAAATAACCTATATTCCAATTATCAAGATCAAGTTCCCAATCAATTTATAAAAGAGATGAATACAGTTCATTTACACATTCCTCTCTGCAGAAAAATATCCACAACAATCTCCAATACACATTAACAAGTTTTGTCGAAAGTCCAACAATGTCTCATGATAAGTCCGATAAGTCCAAGGTTCCCGGGATATAAAATAAAAGGTAAGTCTGTAGTAGTTCAACATCTGGTGTGTTGGTTTTGTGCAATGTGCACAGGGCTGAATGTGCAGTGTTTGTAGCTCAGGACCCTGTTATTTATGTATCCCAAATTATTATTTAAAAAAAACAAAAAACGAAAGGGCTCTGAAAACTGGTGAAATTTGCACTGTACAAATCCTCACGCTCCAAGCATGATTCTATATGTAGCATAGCGTTTTTCAATCTTTATTATGATGGGAAGGTTTTTATTTTGCTGACCACAGAGGCATCTGGAGATGTATTGAATGCATAGAGAAAGTTGTGTTGCTCAAGAAATCAGATTTCATGATTCAATGAGACATGCTGAGGAGGATGAAAAGTAGCAGTGAGATGAGAGAGAGGACAGCTCACCAATCTTGTTCACATAATCTGAAGAACCGTTCATCTTCTACACAGTTATTAATAAAGATTGGAATAGTTCTACTTGCTTTGAATATTTGAACCCCCTTTTTTTTTATGGAATACTTTATTCAGCCCAGACACACCCAGATCCTATCTTCAGCTGAACCCACATGAGTTAAATTCGACTCCCCTTGTTTAAGGAAACGATCTTGTCAGTCACGGTCCCCAATTCCGAAGTTGCCTCACATTTATCCTGAGTCAGTTTTTGCTCTTTGTAAAATTCGATTTTTAAATCATCTTTTCTTGGAGAAATACACACAGTCAGCAAAGGCATCTGGCCCGGATTCGGCATGAAGCCGGCACAGCTGGCCTTGTGTCGGCAATGGCATAACGCATGTGGGCCGAACACGGCCCAGGCGTGGCAAAGGAGGCACTGGCTTGACTCTGGCAAACCAGATGAGGGCCAGTTGTGGCGTGAAGTATTTGGGCCAGAAATCAATTTCCAACTCCGGCCCGAATATGGCCAGCCAGAATTGAGCCACTCCTAAATACACTTTCCGATT